CCCACAAGGGATGACTTTGCAGGACCATTTCAAGATATGGCAGAGAAACATGTTTTGGGGTAAAATATTTTGATTTTCTTTCTTGTTATGCCGGAGTCAGATTGGAAAGTTTAGTCACGATATACAGGGTTAAATAAAACTCATCTGATGAAAATTTATAGTTTGTAGAGCATGACTCCCCAGACCTCTTAGACAGGAATTTGGGCAAGATAAAATAATATCAGAACTTAGTCCTTACATCTCAAACTTTTTTTTCCCTTTTTTCTATCCCTGTGCTAGTATACCATCCTCATCATTGTAGCTGATATATTCTTGATATCTGGCCAAACAAATCCTCCCAACTTATTGTTCTTTTAGAGTGTCTTGGTTTAGAGTGTCTTGGTTATTCTTAGCCGCTTGTATTTTCAGTTCTCAAATTTCTAATTGAAAGCATGTAAATTTATCACTCCTGCAGTTTCTAATTGTCTTGCTGAAATTTTCAGTCTCTTACTGCTTCAAAATGAAAAGCATAATTATTTTCTAGTCTGTGTCTAATAATTCCAGAATCAAAACCCGCCTGTGGGTCTGTTTTTATTTTGTTTCTTTTAGTCTTCATTCTTACTATCTTGTCTCCTTGTGTGCCTGGTTATCTTTAATTATTTACCAATATTGTATTTGAAAAAACTAGAAATAACTTGATGCTCAGAATGATATTTTTATCTTCCACAGAGTTTTTTCATTTGCTTCTGACAGGTACTTGGGCATTAGTAATTTAGGATTATTTTGATCCAATTTCAGAGACTGAGATTTTCCAGGTCACCTAGGTGACTGAAAGCTGAGCTACAGACTTTGGTAGTGCTCTTCTGTTCATCCTTATTTCTAGGGTTCAACCATTCAGGGTTTTGAAGTGTGGTTTGGAGTTACCAGGCCCTCACCTCTTCACTGACCCTGGACTCTATTTTTGAATCTTTATCCCCTTAGCTCTATCTACTCAACTTCCCAGTGGCCTTTTGCAATCTATGAATGCTCCTAACATAAGTCCCAAATGAAGGGTTCATTTTTCTGAATTTCTGTCTTTTTCCAGATATTATTGACATGGTAATTACTCACCAACTTATCAGCTCTCTGCTGCCTTCCCACATGTTTGAAAAGTATATTTTATCCAGCTTTTCTAAATGTTTTCAATTGAGAATGTTAATCCAGATTACTTAGCCCACATTATTTCCTGTTGATTATGTGTAAAATACAGTTGGTTTATTTGTATTATTTTTGTACCTGGAAACAATAAACTCTCTAGTGATTCTCTAAATTATTTGCACATTTTTTTTAATTTTCTTTTTTTTTTTTTTTTGAGACAGAGTCTCACTGTGTCGCCCAGGCTGGTGCAGTGGCATGATCTCGGCTCACTGCAACCTCCACCTCCTGGGTTCAAGCGATTCTCCTGCCTCAGCCTCCCAAGTAGCTGGCACTACAGGCGCCCACCACAACACTCAGCTAATTTTTGTAGTTTTAGTAGAGATGGGGTTTCACTATGTTGGCCAGGCTGGTTTTGAACTCCTGACCTCATGATCCGCCCACCTCAGCCTCCCAAAGTACTGGGATTACAGGCGTGAGCCACCACACCCGGCCCATTTTTAAAAATTTTCTACATAACCTTAGCTCCAAACAAAAATAGTTTAATGTTTTCTAAGATCCAAATTTTGGTTTTGTTGATCCTTTCTATAGTATGTTTGTTTCCTATTCCATTAATTTCTGCCTTTATCAATATTATTTCTATTTTATTAGGGATTTTTTTACTATTCTGTTTCTAACTTGTTGAGATGGGTTACTTCTTTCATTTTTAACGTGTCTTACTTTTCAACATATACATTTAAAAGTTATCTCTATACTATTGCAATATAGTTACATCATACTCAACTATTGTCATATTCCACAAATTTTGATACATAATGCTCATATTTAGTTAAAATATTTTCCTAATTTTCATTAGAATTTTCTCTTCAACCCTTTTTTAGGAGAGTTTCTTTTTTTTCCAAACATGGACTTTTCTAATTATGTTTTTTGATTTGCAGTTTAATTGAATTTTTGTCATAAAAAATAATCTTTCTGATTTTAATTATTTGAAATTACTTGAGACTTGCTTTATGGCCGAGAATACGTTAAATTTTTAATCATTTTTATGCATTTGAAAACAGTATATTCTGTAGTAGTTAGGGACAGTGGGAAGGGGAGAAGTCTCTTCTCCGTATCTTCAGCATTCTAGTCTCCTAGTACTCGTTATTTGTGGGGCCTAAAAACAAGCCATCTAATGTGTCTTTTAGGGTTGTTAATTATGTTATTTAAATCTACTGTATCTTTACTGATTTTTAATATACCTATTATGTCAATTACTGAAAGAAATATGTTTAAAAATCGCCCACTGTGATCTTGATTTGTCTCTTTCTCCTTGTATATGTTTCTGGTTTATATATTTTGAGGATAATTATTAACTGCATGAAGTTTAACACGTTATATTTTTCTGATGAATTATACTTATCACTATGCAGTGTATCTGTAATATGTTTTGCCTTAAAGCCTGTTTTCTCTGTAGCTATACTAGCTTTCCTTTAGTCAGTATTTTCACAGAGTAACTTTTTTCATCTATTTAATTTTAATATCTCTGTATCCTTATGTTTTAAATGTGTATCTAGTAAACAAAATAGATTTAGGATTTTAGTGAAGTTTTTTGTTTTGTTTATTTTTAGATCCAGAGTCCCTCTCATGTTGCCCAGGTCAAAGTGCAGTGGCTCAAGTGGTCCTCCTGCATCAGCTCCCTAAGTAGCTGAGACTGCAGACGTGCACCACCACACCTGGCTTTTATTATTATTTTTTTTAATCTAATAGAACAGTCTTTGTCTTAAACTGGAACACATATGCCATTTACATATAATTACCAATATATTTAGATTTGTTTCTGCCATTTTAGTTTGTTCTGGGAGAGTTTAGGGTTTTTGTTTTTGGGTTTTTTGGTCTAATCTATTTTGTGATTCTTTTTCTGTTTTCTTGCCTTTTAAAATTAGTATTGACTTACTATGTTATTCTTTTTTTTCCAGTTATTAATTGATTATCTCTCAACTGCAGACTCACTTATCTGTATTCTGGGACTTTGTACCTAGAAATTTTTGCAAACTGTGCTTCTCCTTTGCCATCTGGCTTGTTTTTAGGTCCCACAAAGAAAGAGTACTAAGAGACTAGAATGCTGAAGATACGGAGAAGAGACTTTTCCCCTTCCCATTAGCCTCCCAATAGTGTCAGCATCACCTCAGCAATGGTTCTTGTTTTAGCAACTGTGGTTGGTTTCTATACTCCAACTTTTCTCCGGCATTCTGGAGGGTATCTCTTAAAGACTTCTAGGTTCTATTAATCCCATCTTTTTGCCTTTAATAATTGTGTCCCTAGTAGACATTTTCAGTTTTCTCAAAACCTGTTTACCAATTCCTTGTTAAATTCTTTCTTAAAATAAATGATGTTGTTTGTTCTCCTTGAGCAACACATATTTTTTTCTCTTTACTAGTTTGTCTTTTAATAATTACTCTATATTCCATCATATATATTCAGATTAAATAAGACTAAAGTTAATCATTACCTTTACCTTTGGCAGATTATATTTTTTCAAAAATGGCTACAGCAATATTTTCAATCCCACATACTCTTCTAGAAGCTTACTATACTCTAGTCCCCATTAAGACCTCTGAGGTCAAGTCATAAAAGGATATATAGCTGGCTTCCTCTTGGCTCTCTCTCATTCTTTTACTTGCTCTCTCTTGGAAAGCTAATCTTTGGAACCTAGACACCATGTTGTGAGGAAGCTGAAACTATCACACATGGAGAAAATCTCATGCTACCAGCCTGCAGGCAGCATCAGGTGGTCAGACATGTGAGTAGGCAGACTTTCAAATGATTCTAGATCCTAGACTTCACACAGCAGAAACAAGCCATTCCTACTGTGCTGTGCTGTGCCATACCAAACCCCTAAACCCACCGAATCTATGAACATGGATTGTTTATGCAACTAAGTTTTAGAGTTATTTATTGTGCAGATATAATAACTAGAACAACTCTTTAATTTGCAAGTTATGTACTATTGTCATGTATTTTATCGGTATTGTGTGTGTTAATTCTGTTGTCATGTACTTTAATGTTCTTTAATTCTAAGACTTACATAGTCAGTGTTTGTGTTTATACATACACACATATATAAAACTTTCTTTGCTCTTCAGTGTTTTTTGTTTCTAAGGCTTACTGCTATGGGCTGAACGTTTATGTCTTCCCCAAATTTGTATGTTGAAATTCTAATCTTCAAGGTGATGTAATTTGGAGATGGGGCCTTTGAGGGGTGATTAGGTCATGGGGGCAGAGCCCTTATAAAAGAGGCCTGAGATCTCTCACCCCTACCATATGAGGACACAGCAAGAAGGTGCCATCTTTGAGCCAGCATGTGGACCCTCACGAGACTCTGCATGAACCAGTGCCTTGATCTTAGACTTCCCAATCCCTAGAAATAAATTTTTGTCACCTATAAGCCAGTTTATCATGTTTTGTTACTGTAGCTTGAATGGACTAAAACACCATCTGGGATAAATTTTTATCTGAAATACTTTAAAATTTCATTTTGTGAGAGTCTGCTGATGGCATACTTGCTCATGATTTGTTTTCTGAATATATCTGTATTTTTTCGTCATTCTGTGAAGATATTTTTGCTGAATATAGATGCCTAATTTGGCCTCTATTGTCGTTCAGCACATTGGCATTGGAGATATTTTTTCATTTTCTCATGACTTCCTCTGTTGCTCTTGAGTCAGCTGTCAGGCTAATACTTACACCTTTAAAGAAATTTAATTTTTGGCCAGGAGCAGTGGCTCAAGCCTGTAATCCCAACACTTTGGGAGGCCGAGGTGGGCGGATCACTTGAGGTCGGGAGTTCGTGACCAGCCTGACCAACATGAGAAACCCCGTATCAACTAAAAATACAAAATTAGCTGGGCATTTTGGTGGGCGCCTGTAATCCCAGCTATTTGGAAGGCTAAGGCAGGAGAATCGCTTGAACCCAAGGGGCAGAGTTACAGTGAGCCGAGATCGTGCCATTGCACTTTAGCCTGGGCAACAAGAGCGAAACTCCGTCTTAAAAAAAAAAAGAAAATCTCTTTTTTTATCTGCTTTGGTTTTATGAAATTTAATTAATATGTTTCTGAGTATGGATTTATTTTTACTAATCCTGCTTAAGATTTGTTGAGATCTTTAAATCTGGATTTGTGTCTTTGATTATTAGTTCTGGAGAAGTTCTCAGATACTACTCCTTCACATATAACCTCTTCCTCATTCTCTTTTTTTTCTGTGGAGATTCTCATTAAACATGATAGACCTTCAGTGTTCTGTCTTCACTTTTTAGCACCCTCTCTTCTGTATTTTCCAATTGTTCTTTCTTGTCATGCTTTATTCTGTATAATTTCTTTTAACCCATATTCCAGTTTACTTACCTCTTCATGTGTTTCTTACCTACTTACAGCCATCTATTTTGTTGTGGTGGTGGTGGTTTTATTTTTCAGTCCTAAAAGTTCTGTTTGGTTCTCTTTTTTAAACCTGCTAGATCACTTTTATAGTTTTTTATTCCGTACAGATATTTTCTAATATGTCTGTTCTTTAAACTATGAGGGCTGTTGTATGGTCTTTGTCTGCGGGTTTCAGTTTCTGAAATGTCTGTGACCCTGTTTCTGTTGTTTCTTCTAGCTAAATGCATTGCTGGTCTCCTGTGAGACTCTCCACATTGGTCAGCCCCTGGCCTTTGATTTCTGTTTCCCTTGTCAGTTACTTTTCCATTTATTGCGTTCAACTACAATGTGTCACCAACTTTAGGAATCTACTTTTTAAAAGTTTTTCATATTAAGCACCCTAATTTCTTATAGAATGCAAGAATTCACTCAACATTTTGAAATGATAAGAAATTAGAGCTCTTTAGTCTCATCTACCTATATTTTGACCAACTCAATTGTAAAAACCCTTGAGAATAATACATATGTGCTTCTTTTGTAATTTTTACATCAATTAACAGTGATTTATATAAATAATACATTTCAATAAATACTTATATTAATGCTCAGGCTTTATGTCCCAACTCTTATATTTATGATTCCTTATTGTCACTGCCTCTCCATTTAAAAGAAAGCCTTACTTGATTTTGCATATATTGCTACACAGATTATTTATCTTCATATTATAATAGATCTTAAAGAACTGGTTCTCAAATTTGTTATATCTTAAAGAATTGGTTCTCAAATTTGTCATGTATAGCAATTAGCTGTGGTGTGTGCCTAAAAGGCAGATTTCTGGACCTGCCTCAGCGCCGCCCCCCCGACCCCCGAAATTATAATTCAGTAAGTCTGAGAGAACTCTGCATATTTTCAGGCATCCCAGGGAGCTCACTGAATTAGTTTGCTAGGATTGTTGTAACAAATACCACAGACCATGTGGATTAAAGAACATAAATTTATTTTCTCACCATTCAAGAAGCTAGATGTTCAAGGTTTTGGCCAGGTTGATTTTTTTCCCCCCTGAGGCCTCTCTTCTTGAGTTGTCAATGGCTGTTTTCTCCCTCTGTCTCACATAGTCTTTCCTCTGTAGAATATAGACCATATCTTTTCATTGTTAGTTGATTGTGTAATTCCCAAATTGACTTAATCATCAAAATCAATTTAGAAATTTGCTTTTGAAGAAAAAAATTATGAAAAAATATCCGTGTTATTTTGATTCAGTAGATGTAGTCTGGGGCTGATGGTTCCATATTTTTAAGAACTCTGGGTACTTATAATCAGGCTCATCGTACTTATGACACAAGATGATGATACAGCCTTTCACCATCTTTGTAAGGAAATAATGGGCTGATTTTGAGTGGCAAAAAGATGACACCAACAAGAAACATGGGAATGGATACATTTATTTCCATTAACAAAAAATGTGGTATATAATACTTCCATTGGAAAAGGGCTTCTCTAGTACATTTCATGTCTCTGACTTTCAGCTAGGTAATTAAAATGACATATTTGATAAATTGGTCAAATCAGATTTCAACAAAACTTAGGTTTTCTGGGAATTGGTAGGATTTAGAACTAGAGAAACTGCTGTGGGAATTATATAGGGGAAATGTATTTCATTGAGGCCTAAAGAAAAAAATTCCATCTAGAAAGTAGTATGTGTTTTTGGCTTATGTCAGTGCATGGGAATGTGTATATCTGCAGGTTACCATCACAGCCATAGTCTCTAGTTTCCCTGTGAATTGGTTTCATTCTGATAAGATAATGAAATTGTATGGTACAATGTTTCATTCTAATTCTGGTGTTCAGGTGAATGACTTGGTAAACAGGATCAGTAGAATATAGATAATTCTCTTTAAAAGTAAGAACTTCATTTTGAAAATATAAATTACCAAGATACACAAAGGAGCTTTCACATTGTATTTCATGCAACGTGTGGATTTTTCTTCAACTTTTCACTTCTCCCTTCCATATTGGGTTCTTGACCTAGAAATTGTGGGTAAAAAAAACTTAATTAGCGAACCAATATTGTGGAAAACGATGGTTCTTTATTTTCAGTGACTTGATTTTCCTGCTCTTGTGTGGAACATTGCTGGTGTGTTTAGTAAATGTTAGGAAAATAAATACTGAATATTCAGATGCTTTTTTAAATTTTATTTTATCCTGGACCTGTAATTTCGTTCCTAATAATTTTTTTCTTCCTCTTTAGCTTAATATGAGTTACCTGCCTTATATTTTGAAGCGACTTTTAGTTTAAACTGCTAATTTCTAGAGTTGGGAAATATCGTTGACCATTCTTGTTCCATTATTGCTCTTGCCTTCTGGTGTAAGAGAGAGCCAAATGCTGACATGGGTTAACAGGGATCAAAGAAAATCTTATTTTCTTTTAGATAATATTTTATTACATATTAACTTTTTCCAAATCTCCAGATTGGAACCCTTACCTGCTCTACAACTCCCATTTCCCAACTCAAGGTAAATTGAAGTTTGATGTACTAGCAGTCTCACTGTGCCACAGCCAGCTATGAGTTCAAATTCCTGAAGCAATGTTAGGGTTCCACAAAGTTTTCTTAAAACATCAGCATTATTTGTCAAGATAAGTTTTGATCTTTGTGTAGCTTTTCTTAGGAAGTCCTATTTTCATTGTCATGTATTTTTCCATCATTTTTCTGCTTTTGAAAGAAAATACGTTACTCTACAGATAATATTCTAATTATTTAAAGTCTTTCTTCACAGGTCCCTCTAATTCCATCTATTCTTATGTCATTCCCCAGCCCCTATAACAAAGGCATCTGAAATGCAGGAGGAGGCTGAGTAGTTTGTTCCTGATCACAAAGCAAACTGAACAAGTTCAGGCAAACTGAACAAGTTACCAAAAGCAATCTGGTTGTCTAACATTTTACATCAATAGTGCTTTTTTTTTTAAATTTTTATTTGTTGTTGTTGTTGTTGTTGTTGTTTTTGTTTCAGTATTTCTGTTGTCTATTTTTGCTTCCCTGGCCCTGCCCTGAGGGTGGGGCCCCTAGTCAAGGTGCAGCAGCATTTTGGCAGTTACAGCGTGGGCACCTAAAACCCCAAGAGAAAATTTATCCTTCCAGCCAGAGAAATCAGGAAAAATGGGCAGAGAGGAGAATTGGAATTACATTTTTCTCTTTCTTGTCTCTGTCTCGGAGAGATTGGTCAACTGCAGTCTCACAGAACTGCAATTACAGCACAGGTGTCATTAATAAGCTCCATCATTCTAGTTAGAACACCAAAAAAAAAAAGGACCCTTGGCGGCTCAAGAGTATGGAGAAATCCCAGAGAGGTGACAGCTGGAAAAGAGTTATCTCCTAGTTCTGTGTGTGAAGTGACACAAATTCCAGGCTCACCTCTGAATTGTGCATGCACAGAACCAGATACAAAACAGATGGCAAAGTCTTTGACTACTAAACTAAGGTATAAACCATGACCAAGGCCCAGGCTGTTGATTCCTGAGATACAGACCCAAAACAGCATAACAGAAGCTTTGAAAACTGAACCAATATTGGAATGGCTTCCCACAGAAAATGAGAGAGAACTGGTTCAATCTAATCAAGATGGTTGCCTGCTTTTAAAAAATGCTCCAGAGAATTTTAACAGGACCCAGAGGCTCGTAACATAATATTCAAAATGTCCAAGACACAATACAGAATTACTTGATATATGAAAACCCAGGAATTACTTAATATACAAAAAGAGGAATGTGACCAATTCCCCAGTTTTCAAGGGAAAAGACAATTGATGCCAACACTAAGATAACCAAGATGTTGAAATTATCAGATGAAGACTTTAAAGCAGCTATGCTTCATGAGGTGGTCATAAACACTCTTGAAATGAATATAAAGATAGATGTTCTCAACAAAGTAAAGCTATAAAAACCAATGGAGAGAGGAGGTGGAGCAAGATGGCCAAATAGAACCCTCCAGCTATCACCCCACCCCCCACAGAAACACCAAATTAAACAACTATCTACACTAGAAAGCACCTTAATAAGAACCAAAAATCCTGTGAGCAATTACAGTACTTGGTTTTAACATCATAGCAAGGAAAGAGACACTGAAGAGGGTAGGAAAAATAGTCTTGAATTGCCAACCTGGTCTCTTCCCCCATCTCCCAGCAGTGGCTGCTGGTGCAGAGAGAATCTGTGTGCTTAGGAAAAAAAGTGGACAGTGACTGTGGCAGTTTGCATTGGAACTCAGTGCTACTTGTCACAGTAGAAAGCATCACAGGGCAGAATTCAGCCAGGACCACAGAGGGGAGCATTTAGACCAGCTCTTGCCAGAGAGGAATCATCCATTCCAGTGGTCAGAATCTGAACTCTGACTAGTCTCAACATCACAGGCTAAAGTGATCTGGGGTTCTAAATAAATTTGAAAGGCAGTTTAGGCCACAGACACAGGGTCCTGGGCAAGTCCTGTTCTGTGCTGGGCTTGGAGCCAGTGGACATGGAGTGCATATGACCTAGTGAGACACCAGCTAGGGTGACCAGGGGAGTGCTTGTGTCAGCCCTCCCCCAATCTCAGGCAGCATAGCTCCAGGAGAGACTCTTCCTTTCTGCTTGTGTAGAGAAGAGGGGAACGTAAACTTGGAAAGCAACTCAATTGGAAAATAGCTCATCCACAGTAAACAGGGCATCAGGCAGAGTCGTGAGAACTCCATTTCAGGCCCTAGCTTCTGGGCATTTCTAGACATGCCCTAGGCCAGAAGGGAATCTACTGCTTTGAAGGGAAGGACTCGGTCCTGGCAGTATTCATCGCCTACTGCCTAAAGCACCCTTGAGCCTTGAATAAACATCAACAGTAGCCAAGCAGTACTTGCTGCGGGCCTTGGGTGAGACCCAGAGCTATGCTGGCTTCAGGTATGACCCAGCACATTCCTAGTTGTGGTGGCCATAGGGAGAGACTTTTGCTTAAGGAAAGGAAAGGGAAGAGTAAAGGAGACTTTGCCTTCCAGCTTGGGAACCAGTTAGGCCACAGTGGGGTAGAACACCAAGCAGGGCCTTGTGGTTCCCAATTCTAGACCTTGGTTCCTGGATGGCATTTCTGGACCCACCTTGGGTCAGAGGGGAGCCCCTTACCCTAAATGGAGAGACCCAGGCCTGGCAGTATTCACTATGAACTGATTGACGAGCCCTTGGGCCTTGAGTGAACATCAGTGGTAGTCAGGCAGTACTCGCCACAGGCCTAGAGTGGTGGTAGTCACGGGGAGAGACTCCTGCTTGAGGAATGAATGGGAAAGACTTTGTCTCACACCTTGGGCGCTGGCTCAGCTGCAGTAGGATAGAGCACCAAATAGATTGCTAAGGTTCCTAACTCCAGGCCCTGGCTCCTGGATTGCATTTCTTGAGTCCCTCTGGTCTGGCTTGGAGCTCTCCAATCTGAAGGGAAGGATACAAGCTTAGCTGGATTAGCCACTTGCCAAATCATGAGCCCTTGAGCCTTGAGTGAACATCAGCAGTACCCAGACAATGGTCACCACTGGCATTGGCCAAGACTCAGTGCTGTGCTGGCTCCAGGTATGACCCAGCACAGTCATAGTAGTGGTGGCACAGGAGTGCTTATGTCCACCCCTCCCCCAGCTCCAGGAAGCTCAGCACAGAGAGAGAGAGAGAGAGAGAGAGAGAGAGACTCCATTTGTTGGGGGGAAAGTAAGGGAAGAGAACAAGAGTATCCACCTGGTAATCCAAGACATTCTTTTAGATCTTACCCAAGACCATCAGGGCACTACTCTACAAGTCTGCAAGAGACACAATGTTCCTGGGCCCACATGCCTGCAATGTACATATGGCTGCAGTGACCAAAGACTTAGATCAGAATAGTCAATTCTTTTTGAAGACTGGGAAAACCTTTCCAAGAAGGATGGGTACAAACAAGCACATACTGTGAAGACTAGATTAAGTACCTAACTCTTTAATGCCCAGACATCAACAAACACAAGCATCAGGACCATACAGGCAAATGTGACCTTACCAAATGAACTAAATAAAGCACCAGTGACCAATTCTGGAGTGACAAAAGTGTGTAAACTTACAGACAGTGAATTCCAAATAGCCATTTCTAGGAAGCTCAGTGAAAATCAAGAAAACACAGAGAAGGAATTCAGAATCCTATCACATAATTTAACAAAGGTTGAAATCATTTTTTTAAAGTCAAGCAGAAATTCTGGACCTGAAAAATTGACATTCTGAAGGATATATCAGAATCTCTCAATAGCAGAATTGATCAAGCAGAAGAAAGGATTGGTGAGCTTGAAGACAGGCTATTTGAAGATACACAGAGGAGACAAAAAAAAAGGAATAAAAAGGAATGAAGCACACCTACAATATATTGAGAAGAAGCCTCCAAAGAGCAAACCTAAGAGTGACTGATCTTAAAGAGAAGGTAGAGAGACATATCAAGGTAGAAAGTTTATTCAAAGGAACAACAGAGAACTTTCCAAATCTGGAGAAAGATATAAATATTCCAAGTACAAAAGGTTATAGAACACCACGCAGATTTAACTCAAAGAAGACTACTTCAAGGCACTTAATATTCTAACTCCCAAGGATGGGATAAAGAAATCATCCTAAAAGCAGCAAGAGAAAAGTGACAAATAAAATACAAAGGAGCTCCAATACATTTGCCAGCAGACTTCTCAGTGGAAACCTTATAGGCCAGGAGAGCATGACATATTTGATGTGCAGAAGGCAAAAAACTTGCCTCCTAGAATAGTATATCCTGTGAAAATATCCTTCAAACATGAAGGAGACATTCTTTTCCTAGACAAACAAAAGGTGGGGGATTTCATCAATACCAGACCTGTCCTACAAGAAATGCTAAAGAGAGTTCTTCAATCTGATAGAAAAGGACATTAATGAGCTATAAGAAATCATCTTTTTTCTTTGGGACAAAACTCACTGGTAATAATACACAGACAAAACAAAATATTATAACACCATAATTGTGGTGTGTAAACTACTTATATCT